CTCCAGGAAACCACAGCTGCTCTGTATCATCTCCAGGAAACCACCGCCATTCTTCCAGTCTTCATCGTAAGTGTTTTACTCTGGTCATGTTTTAGAATTATAATGTTGTTGTGGTAAAGTCCTCATTGATAATACCCTTTTATCTCACAGCACTCCTCAAAAATATTAATGAACCAGGAAATGATGATGGATCAGATTAAAATAATTCATAAAACAATCCAGGGATTACAAACTCCAGTTGAAGATGATTTGTCACACAACTCATGCCCGCTAAACGATCCACAGTCTGTTGAAGACATGGAAATTCAACTTCGGGACAACCCTGAACTTCTCAAACAACTGGTAAGAATGTGAATAATACTGGTACTTCAAGATAAATTGATTTTGGTGAGCCTGTTGAACTACATGTAATAGATTAAAAAAAGTTCATCACAAAGGTCTATACTCGTGTTTTAATCCAGGCTAGATGTTTTCTTAAAGCATCACCACATAACCTTTCAGGTTTAGCACCTTAAACACAAACACCAATGCACAGTTGCAAAAATTGTCTGTACTAATAACACATTTTGTGGAAAATAGTGAATAATATTAGAATATGCAGCAATTAACATCCTGCAATTATTTGAAAAAGTTTTGTTTTTACTCTCACTTCACATGACTCGGCTCAGTACACTTAAAAAGAAAAGTAATTTTTTTTATAAGTGTGTGCCCTTGATTTGAGCTTCTGATTGGAATAAGATGTTTGCATTTAATTGTTTTTTAAAGAAAACTACTTATGTCCATTTATTTATTCCAAGTGTAGTGTATACAGTATAATTATCTAATTTAAGGGGACAAAATACTCATTCCATTGGAGCGTAGGAGTGAGTCTACCCCTGTATATGGACCCAAAGAACAGCTAACTCATATTCAACATATATTTGAATATATTTTGGGTAAACCTAAGTACCATTACAGCAGTGAACAGTCTAAGAATGCTGTATCTTACATGTCACATTCTAAGATTTTTAGACTAATACATTTTTCGGACACAACACAAAACTAATCAGTTTTGTGTTGTGTGTTTCCTTGACTGATGAAGCCTTCTGGATGGAAGGTGAAACGTTTCAGGAAAAAAAAAAAGAAACTGTCCAGATGATCTGACTGAAAATTGTTGTATAGCAACCAAAATTATAAAGATTATACAAGATTCTCTATATAAAAATATTTCAAATATAAATGTTGAAATGCCAATGTTGTATTTTTAATTTACAAAAAACTTTGCAATGCCGACAGTAGGTGGCACAATTCTGATACCGTACCTGCTTTCAAGGACTCTGACAATGGTCCAATGTTTAATTAATTTGTTTCAGTGACTGTGCGGCACAATCATCCAACGTCGACTGCAACCGACAGGGCGACAGACGTCAGAATTACCAAATGGCTGCAAAATGCTCCAGTTCGCAATGGTGGGAGAAACGAAAGAATGAAAAGGAAGGAAAGTTTGAGTGT